GGTCTATCTGTGGGTGAGTGGAGGCAACCCCCAGAGAACATTCCTGGAAAACCGTTCGCCCTGCATGACCACCTCAGGCTTTTTTTCTTGGCCAGAACATCGGATTAGGGGGCAGGTTAGCAAGGCTGGTGGGATGTTTTTCAGCATCTGCTGAGGCCTTAGCGGGTCAGAAGAAGGGCCACCGTGGCCCCCGGGGGAACTGACAATGGACACCTTCACTGTCAGCTTCTGGATGGTGTGCTCTCAACCAATACCAGGTTGGTTCACGGTGACTGACTTTGCTGTTCTCCAAGAAGAGAGGCTAGGCGTGCGCGCGTGCATGTGTCTGTGAGTGTCCAATTACTACTTCACCATTCATTCTGCAAATAGTTACTGATTGCTTATTACATGCCACCAGGGATTCTGCAGTAAATAAAAGGGACAAGGTCCCCTCTTCAGAGGAGCTTTGTGGACCCAGAACATATGTCTCCAAGTGATTCTGTGTGTACCTGAAGTATGTCTTTGCGGGAACATGTGACTGCCTCTGTGTGTGTGTGGTGGAGGGGGGCGGGTTCCTGAATATCTGAGTCTGTGTGTGCGTGTGTGTCTGTGTGTACTTGAACATATGTGTCTGAGCATGTGTCTATGAAGGGGAAAGAATTACTCATCCACTCAGAAGACTGTTCAAGAAAGACCTCTCCCAGAGCAGTTACATTTTCATAAATACAAACAATCAGATAATGAGTTCATTTCCGATTTCAAGTTTGATGCCAACATTCCAGTGAAACAAGACGTGCTGGCAGGCTGCTGCTCTCTGTGTGGCTCGGATTAGCTGGGGGAAAGTACAGGGGTGAGACCTGCCACTTGCGGGCTGCAGGGGGTGGGAGGAGTGGGGGTGATCTACAACCAAAGGAGCAGCTGCATGTGCCTGGGGCTGAGAAGCTCCTCACCCTTACCCGGGCATCGGGAGACCCCCGACAGCCTGCACGAGGCCCGAACTCCTCCATTCACTCCTTTGGGAGTAAGGATGGGCAGCAGAGTCGGTGCAGCTTTATAAATGGCGATGGCCTCAGAAGGGGTGGCCCAGCTGGCTGCCGTGAATTACGGAAGGCACCCCAGGCCAGAGCCCAGAGAGGCCTGCCGCGAGAGCACAGAGCAGAGTGCAGAAGGAGGTTGTGCGTGGAGCCTAGGGAGAAGGAGAGGGGCCACACGCACACCACAGCCCCTGCTTCAGCCTGGATTCCCACGCCGGGAGTTGAGTACACCTCCTCTACTCTGCCCTCTCTGGCCTTCATGTAGGCTGGTCCCTCTCCTTGGAATGCTCTTCCAACTTGACAAGTCCAGATTGATGCATCGGTTAAGATCCAAACATGCGCCTCCATGAAGCCTTCCCTAACTCTGTGGGCCGGAAGCACTTTCCCCCCCTCAGTAGTTACCGCCTTCCAACCGTCTCCTATTTTTCTTCCATGGGTCCAAGTGCCAGGAGGGAGGGCTTTGTGCTGCATACAGCTGATTTGCCCCTGCAAGTCCCAGCCGGCCTGAAGGTGGGCTGTCCCTGGAGGCTGGCCGGAAAGGTGAACTGAGCCAGATTCAGCAGCATGCTCTGTCAGGGCAGCCTGTGAAAGGTTGTGCCCTGAGATCTGCCCCGGCATGGAATCGGAGACCCACTGGCACTAGGAATGCCTTGGCAGTTGGACAGGGGTTGAGAGAAAGGCATCCGGGGGAAGGGGCTGGGAAAGGAGAGGGGCCTTCCCTAGGAGGCATGACTTGAACCCCAAATCAAGGCATCTGTGAGACATCAGGGAATTATGCTGGGGTGCGGAAACTACCGATAATCGATTCAGAAGCAGAGGCTAATTGTTGGCAATTAAGCAAGAAAAACTCAGAGGACATCTGTCTGTTTGTCCATCCTTCCATCCATTGACCCATTCATGCATTCAACAAGCAACAGGGAGCACCTTTACATGCATACAATAACATACATTATTCAACTACTCCTCC